TACCTGTAGACGACCAGTACAACAGGTGAACCTACCTGTAGACGACCAGTACAACAGGTAAACCTACCTGTAGACGACCAGGGTAACAGGTGAACCTACCTGTAGATGACCAGTACAACAGGTAAACCTACCTGTAGATGACGAGTACAACAGGTGAACCTACCTGTAGACGACCAGTACAACAGGTGAACCTACCTGTAGACGACCAGTACAACAGGTAAACCTACCTGTAGATGACCAGTACAACAGGTGAACCTACCTGTAGACGACCAGTACAACAGGTGAACCTACCTGTAGATGACCAGTACAACAGGTGAACCTACCTGTAGATGACCAGTACAACAGGTGAACCTACCTGTAGATGACGAGCACGTTGTCGAACTCCCTCTTCGCCGTGCGACCGCCGGCGACGAGCATGAAGTCGTTCGTCGTGACGGCGGCGTGGAAGAAGCGCGGCACGGGCACGCTGCCGATGGGCGCCAGCAGCTGCCAGGCGAGCGTGAGCAGATCGAGCGCGTACAGCTTCGCAGAGATGCTCGTCCGGTTGATGTAGTACTCGTAGCCGCCAAACACGTAGAGGGCGCCGGAGGGCGGGTGGTAGACGGCGCTGTGTCCGTACAGACCTGAGGACGGACGACATACGGTAGATATAGGAAACGACAGGCCTGGCAACGTGTGACTGATGACATTTTCAATACTACTTCAGACTCATTACAAGGGTAAAACCACACAATAATAAATTAAATCCATCATAGGATTCACATCAATATTCGAACAGTTGCACAATATTATTACATGGAAATTTTTTTTATCATTTCAAAAAATTTTCATTATATATCCATTTCTGACCAAGCCTAAAAATTTTATGACAATCCGTCCATAACTTTTCCAGTTAGGCTGTACACAAACAAACCAACGCACAAACCCCCTGGCGGAGGTAATTATACATATATATATATATATATAATCAAAAAAAGCATGCTCGCATTAATAAATAATGTAACCGGACCATTATCTCTGTACATGCACAGAATAAAGTGAACATTCGTACACACATAACTACACCCACATGCAGCACATTAACTCCAGCGCGTGGGGCACTCACCGATCGGCGCGACGCCGTGCGTCTGCAGGCGCGACCAGCGCTGCCGCACAGGCGCCGGCATCACGCAGCGGTACACCCTGCCGGAGAAGCCACCCGGCCCGGGGTCCGCGGCCGCGTAGCCGCCCAGCAGCACGAGCGTGGAGTCGCCGACGTAGGTGAGGGTGTGGCCGGCGAGCGGCGGCACCGAGCCGAGCGTCGACTGCGTCTTGTCGCCGATACCCTCCCCCAGAACAAACTCCGTCTGCAACGACACACACGGGACGTCGTCGTCACGGTAACCGTGAGGCAGGCCGTCTCCCCAGATGCGCGGAGGAATCGTCACGGTAACCGTAACGCAGTACCTCTACGCAGATAGGGAGGAGGGCAAGGAGAGGGGCGAAGGCGCGTGGGCGGAGAATTTTGAGGCGCAGATATGGGGAATGGTTGGATGGGAGGTATAAGGGAAGGGCAGCGGGATGGAGTGCAGACAGGTGAGATGAAAGAAATAATCAAATTTGACTTTTTTTAAGATAATAGCCGAAGTTTTATCAC